GGCCCTGAGATAGCTCAGTGAACTCTGCCCTAGTAAGAGCATCATCAGGTCTCTTAGTAGATACTCTCCCGCGTGTCATAATGACTACATGAGGAAAACACTGCTCAGAGATAAACAAATAGATTCTAGAGTATCTAGGATTTCAAATTTCTACTAAAAATTATTTTATAGCCTATCCTAAACCCTTTTCCTCAATGTAAGGGATGCTCCTGAGATCCTACTCTAATATTACCTGTGACATCTTGATGCCCACTGGGCGATGACTTCCAACTGAATAATAAAAGAAAGCATTTAATAGTAAACGCATAATCTACATCCTTTACAAAAATTTACATGCATGAGTATATTGAGGCAATACAATTATCATTTTCTATTTACAGATGTATAGATAACCTATTAAACATACATCACTAGCCTCACTAAAACAAAAGTCATTCTTTCACTCTTTAATTCTCACGAAAAATATCAAATAAAGGCTCAACTGGAAGATCTGTTAAGTCATTTGGGGGAATTGGATTGTTGTGAGTTTTAAATACTTAGTAAGAATAACAGTAATGAAACAACACAAATAACATTTAAAACATATATTCATGGAATTTTAGAAAACATTAAAGTCACATTGAAAATCCATATTTTTCCATAGCTATTAATAACTTATCCATTCACATTATTTTATTACATTTTCAAAAATTCACATCTCACAATGCTTGGGCACACACATCACATCAAATCACATCATAGTATATTTCCAATGCGCTCAATACTATATTCAATCACCCAACACACACACACACAAGACTCAACTGACTTTTCTTTGTAGTTTTATTACCAATTATTATCTTAATTTATGTTTCACTGTTTACATACCTTTGTACAAAGCTGCTTGAACCTCTTCTAGGGACAACATAAAGAATATCAGTTATCCTATGAATGGGGAACATAAATCACATCATAACATAATTACATTATATCACACAAGGTCACTGAAGTCACCATCAATTGAGTTTCACTTAAGAACACTGAATCTTTTGTTCCAACCAAAGTGGAACCACATCATCCCATTCATAAGATAAAGGCTCCAGACATCACACAATAATCCCTCGAATGAAAATAGTTAACTGAATTTACTAGACACTGAGTTATTTAAATTTTAATTGGACTCCTTATTTTCTTCGTTTTTATCTTATGCATCCTATCCTTACCTCATTCTAAACTTATCCCATCCCTTTATGATTTTTCTTTCCTTACATTGTTACTTAATTATTTGCAACTTAATTTATTATTTTCTTTCTTAATGCACATATTATTTGATATAACAACTTAATTTCCTTCTTAATTTGAAATTTATCAAACAATTTAGATTTTATCTTTATTTTTAATCCCTCTTCTTTATCATAATTTCGTATTTTATTTTTCGTTTAAAATCCTTCTTTCTTATCTCCAAGATCCCTTAAAATAATTTCCCTAAATTCTACTTAATTTTAATTAGTTCCTATTCTTTTTAACCTCTTCATTTTTACCCCTTAATTTCCCTTATATTTTATATTTTTGTATAATTTTATTTTAACCAAGTTTATATTTCAATTTTTCTTTAGTTCCCATAATTTATTTCACCAATTATTCTCTTGCCAATTTCCCTTTTTTCCATATAATTCTCATTTTTCTCTTTTCTTAAATTACAAGTAACGGGAATTCACTCATGAATGGGGGAATTTCCCCCTTGAACCCTCACCCACGACACATGATGGTGCAAGCCTACAAGGATGTGCACGCTTGGCAAGCCCGCACGACTCGCAAGCTTGTTGCACGGGGCAACATTGCTTGTGGGGATTGTGCCTCGGGCAATGAGGCATCCAAGTGCACATCCATGCGTGCATATGCACGTGCCTTCACGCAAAAGATAGTATCCGCACGCAGCCCCTCTCGGTGCAGTAGGGGTGCCTGTCAGAGCCCCACGTTTGCACGTAGTGTACTGCGCGTACGCAACATAACAGGGGATATGTCTTGACAATTTTGGGTGCCTAAGCAGTGTCCTACGCATGCCTCATGCACGCCTTGGTTGTATCTGCCTTCTTTTACTGGCACTTTTATGCCTAGACAACATAGGTTAGAGGTAGATGGCCTCCTCCTTCATTTCGCATAATTTTTCTTCTATTTTTGCTTATGCCATTCATAAAAAAACATCATTTATATCATCATCAATGTCATACATCAACATTCAAACACTGAAAAACACAATTAATCAAAGAAAGATGCATGAACACCCCTTTTCCATCGTTAAGTTAAAACAACTTCTTAATGATGATTTTGTAAGATTGTTACCGCTTAAATTCATCTATAAACCTCATTATTCGTGTTAATTAAATTACTATCATTCTTACCTTACTGTAGAAAGCTCAAGTGCTCCAAACGCACGATTAAATCAATCCTTGTGTAAGAAAAACTACCTGCAACACGCCTGTGCAGTTATTATGCATTAAAGGTGTACTAAGATGAATTCACAAATTTTTGGGTTGTTTTAATCACAAGGATTCTGTAATTAAGCATCCTTAGTTTTAAAACAACTTATCCTCAACGTATATAGTGAACAAAATCGAAAGGAAATCTAAGAATTGAAAAGGAAAAGAGTGGTTACATGAAACAATCCCTCGGGTCTGGTCGCAGCAAAAAGTGAGCTTCAATTGAAGATTCTAACAATTGGTTTAGCTAGGCTAAAATGGACGACTTAATTGACTAAATGAAGGATTAATTCACGTAAAATAGAAGAGAAAGGCTCCCCTTAGAAGAGAAAGAAGCTAGAATTCTCTTTGCACAGACACATCCACACCATGCTCTGTTTTTTTTTTATTTTATTTTTCTCTCTGGTTCTCATTGATTCTCCTATGGTTTTCTCTTGATTGTCTCTCAATTTTTTCCTCTTTTTTTTTTTCGATTAGAAGAAATAAGGATTAAAGTAGAAGACAAAGCTCATTTAAATGGGACCTTTCTACTTAAATTTTGGCCATCAAATCACATATAAGTGACCTAGGCCTTTTGTTCAATTTGGGTGGCTGACAACATAGGAGGAAAAGTTAGAGAGGTCAACAACTGACTGGGAAAACTTGCCAGCAAACTCGGGCAGCTTGGACACCTCAACAGATGGAGCTAGTGGTCGTTACATCATAGCCACCAACTGGAAACACTCGGCCAGTATGCTCGTGCTGTCCGTGGGTTCTGTCCATGGGTTGTGTCCGCTCGCTTGGCATGCAGCATTACTTGCATGCCCGTGGTTTGGGAAAAATGATTTTCCCCTAGTTGTGGCAAAAAGTTTGAGGGGATTTTCTGCGGGTTGGTGGGAAGCAGTTTGGTTCGCAGGGATGAGTATTGCAGGTGAACCTTGTCCCTGTGTTCGAGTGTGGTGTCCCTTCATGCTTACTTGCGGATGGGCGTGTGGGAAAAAATTTCCACGCGTTTACGTGTCCAATTGGCTTTTGATTTTTAATTTTCATTACTATGTTTATTATTTTCTATATTGGCATCATTAAATTCTTAAAACCCAAAGCTAAAATATTTTCGTATTTCTATTCCAAACCATATAATTATACATTGTGTACTATCTCTAGTCTACCATAGGATTTTCATGCCCATCTTTGTTCACTATTTACCTTACTTACATCCACGTACAACTCCAATCCTCTACGAGACACACCAATCTCAACATCCATCACCACATACTAAATGAAATCTCACACATGCACTCCCTGTATGCATAAAGATTATTACACCAATGCACACGCACACGAGAAAATCATCATATACATGAATACGTTATAATAATATAGCCATAATTAATATCATGAGCAAAATCAAATAACAGGAAAATGTGCATGAATAACATTATAGAACATAAATCAAATAGCTCCATCGGCACCTGTTATCATTAATTTTTTTTAAAAAGCAATAGCCATTTTAGATTTGAACTTTTATAACGATTATGGGAATTGGTTTCAGGAATCTTTATCGAAATCATATGCTTGAAACGTTATCGTTTCTGATTATTGGCCACAGTTTGGCTTCATGTTCCCTGAGCTTCATTTTTTAAACAATTTTTATACAATAATCAAAATCCTAATAAGAAAGAGAAAGGACAAAAAGAGGAGGAGAGGTGACTTATCAAAGTCGCGTCTCACTCATGTCGTTAGTGGTGGGTTACTTCTTTTTGGGCTCAGACTTCCTAGCTGAAAATTGGAGATAAATACTAAAAATGATATTAAAAAA